TTATAAAATTTCATATTTATTTTTACATCCAAGAAATTTATTCTGTGAAGGCAATTTTTGACTTGAGTCCTAGGTTAGGTTGAAAATTGCTCATCATTTAACTAAAATGTATATTTGTTCCACCTCTTAGTTTTTATGAACATCTTGACAGTGCTATTGCCCTGCATCCCTGTAACTCCTTTTAGACAGCTATAAACAAATGTGCTTAAATATATGACAGGGATATTTAAACTCAAGAACCCTAAGGTTAGAATAACAAGAAATATCTTCAACCTTTCTTTTTCCCATCTATGCTAGCATTTCTACTGTCCATTGTTAAGTGAATACACTAGTCAGAAGTAGCCATAACCTATGGGACAGGTAGGTAGATTGATCAGTTCTGCCGTAGCTTATAGTAATTTGCCTGTTTGTACTTCAAAACCATTCACCAAGAACTTTCTCTGTGACAAGTGTTACGGATACACCTGTCAGTGATTAAGCCACCACGTTCTTGCTCTTCAGTAGTTCCTGGTCAAAGCAAGAGATAGATATTGTAAAAAATAATTACAACTAAATAAGGTAACATTGTTATTTTGTGGTTGGAACAAAATTCAATTCAATTCTGCTATTTCTTTCCTGTAGTAAACCATTTCAGCAGTTAAATACTTCAATATTTAACAGTGCTTTTTTTCCCCTGGTGTCATCTAAACTAAACTAAGAAATATAGCAAAGGGTATCATTTTAATGCTAACCACCTGTCATTACTACCACAAATACAGTTGACCCTTTTTGGGGCACTGACTTCCCCCACACACACATTCTGTTGAAAATCTGTGTATAATTTTTTTTTTGTTTTTTTAGAGACAGGGTCTTGCTGTGTCAGCCAGGCTAGAGTGCAGGCTGTTGTGCAGTGGCCTGATTATAGCTCACTGTAACCTTGACCTCTAGGGCTCAAGTGATCCTCCCACCTCAGCCTCCCAAGTCCCTGGGACTACAGGCACATACCACCTATGTCTGGCTATTTTTTTTTTTTGGTAGAGACAGGTTCTCTGCTGTGTTTGCCCAGCCCAATCTGGTCTCGAACTCCCAGCCTCAAAAGTGATCCTCCCACCTCAGACTTCTGAAGTACTGGCATTGTAGGTATGAGCTACCACCTCTGGCTGTGTATAACTTTTGACTCCCCAAAAACTTAACTAATAGTCTACTGTTAACCGGAAGCCTTACTGATAACCCAAACAGTCGATTAATGCACGTTTTGTATGTTGTATGTATTATATACTGTATAGAAAAGCTATAGAAAAGAAAATGTTATTAAGATAGTCATAAGGAAGAGAAAATATATTTATTATTCACTAAGTGGAAGTAGCTTATCATAAAAGTCTTCAATCCTCATTGTCAGCTGAGGAGAAGGAAGTAGAGGAGGGGTTGGTCTTGCTGTCTCAGAGGTGGCAGAAGCAGGAGAACATCCACACGTAAGCACACCCTCGCAGTTCAAACTCAGGTTGTTCAAGGGTCAGTGGTAACTAGAGCCACAAGAACATTTTGGAAGTTGAAGTCTGATTGCTCACCTAAATTCTGGAAATAGATAATATTTAAATAAGAATTTGTGAAATTTAAACTTATTCAGTGTTTGCCATTGCCATTAATGATTAATAATCCAAACAGAAACTTCTTTATGTATTTAATTGCTTTTTGTTGGCTATCATATAAAATAATTCTGAATGGGTATTTTTAATGTTCCCTCTAACCCAAAGAAAGGCCCTCAAAATTCTCCTCTCATGAAATAAAAGTATGGCTATCTGAGTGCCAAGGGAGTAAGCTTATATAATAGTTGACTATTTGTTTCAATAGGAATATGATGAAGAATGGGCTAAGAAAATTCAGAGTGAAAAGTTTCGCTGGCATAACTCTCAGTGGCTAGAAATGGTAGAGAGTCGTCAGATGGATGAGAGCGAGCAGTACTTGTATGGGGATGATCGAATTGAGCCCTACATCCATGAAGGAGATATTCTCGAAAGACCTGACCTTTTCTACAACTCAGGTAAGGCGATAGCCAAAGCAAAAATAAAGGGATTTTGGTCTGCCAATCTTGCACATTCCCAAGCTTTGTAAGTGCTTCTTGTAGTATATAAATGGTCTTCTGCTAATTATTTAAGATGTAACATTTATACTCAACAGGCAAACCTGTTAACTCACCATTAATTTTTTCCATGTTAGTCTTTGATGTAATCTCTATAAAAAATGGCTGTAGCCAGGAAAATTAATTGCTCTTAGAAGAAGCTTGTTACTTGCCAGAATGTGTTAACTTAAACTAACAACTTCAAGATTTCTGACCTCTGTTAAAAAATGTAATCATTTTCTTTATTCTGCATTTATTAAATATGCAATTTATCAATATATGTTTTGTTTTCCAATCTATTTAATCTTAACAGTTTAATTTTGCCATGATTTTGCTTTAGTTTCAAACCACTAAACTATTTGGGGACTGTTGGGAAGATTTAGATACTTTATAGCAATAGCATTTTCCTTCTAAACTCTGCTAGCGTTTTCAGAGCCAGGCATGATAGTACACGCCTAGAGTCCCAACAAGTCAGGAGGCTGAGGTGGGAGGACCACTTGAGCCTAGGAATTCAAATCTAGCCTGGGCAACATAGAGAGACCCTATCTCTTTAAAAAAAAAAAAAGAAACTCTGCTACCATTTTTAAGGTAAAATTTAATATTTACATAAATCTTACATATATTATAACCTTGTAGATTCTGCAATGCCGCCTTTTTCCAGGGATGAGTTTGTCACAAAGATTGGTAAATTTTTGCATATCTTGGCTTTTATGTTTTCTACTGTTGCCAATATTAATATCACTTCATTGAAGTCGTTTAGTTGAGGAAAGGAAAGAAAGAAATTCTGATTAAGATCTGTCACAAGCTGGAAATAAAAAGCATTAAAGTAATTATATCTGAATTAATGACTCACCTTTTTTTTCTACTGTGTATTTTTACTATGTATTTAATAAATGTTTTCAATATAAGTTTTCTAAAAGCATGTATTGCCTCATCAAAGCAATTTGTTTGTGATCACTGATTGATTCCATAAATTAACATCACATCTAATCACTATGCCCACATTAATAATACCATTCACACATTCATTCATGTGTTTTCTTAATTGTGTATTGTGCAGATTTTCCATAAGTACTATGTATTACTTTTGTATTTGATATAAATACTTGATCTTAGAAAACATATGCTTTACTTTGAAAATTGAATAGATTTCTTCCTAACTCAACTTTACAGTAGTTATGAAATGCTGCTTTGTGTTTCAAACCAGATGGAGAGGATCATTAATTTCAACCAACCAGAATTTCTTAGTTCAGTAATGGCAAGCAGCTGTTCCTTACATATTCAGTATTCATGAACCAAGATGATGTAAAATATATATGATATTCCTGAAATCAAATTTCTTGCTTTGAAGGTTGATAGCTACCTTTCAGCGTGAATCAATTACCAGTTTCCAAAACTGAATAAAACTATTAACCACCTCAGTGTTCAATTTTGTTGTTTTAATACAATTAAAATTTCAGAACAGAGCTCTAAAAAGTTAGACCACATTTCCAAAATTAATTCATTTAAATTAACCTCTTACATGAAAATACTAAATATTTTTGTGAGATACTTTATAATTAAAATGTATAACTTATGCTTTTGTGAGAAAGTTGAACTATGTATATTTATATACTATAATTTAGAAACAGCAGCAGCTGATGGAAAAATAAAAGTATTTGAGGGGTGTAATATTATCGTTAAGTATCTTTGTAGTTTTTTTTTAAATACCCATAGCCTGATGATATGATAGACATTTGACAGTGGAAATTGAGTTTAAAGATATAGTTCTTATAGCAAGCTGTCTATATTTTTTTAGTTTAAGAATTTTTTACCTAGTTCATTTTCCATGAATAGTCCATGGACTAAATGAATCTCAGTAGCATTTCTTGATATATCTCATGTAAATCTAGAAGTGTCAGCCTCTGTTCATTTATTATATGCAATTCTATCTTTGGAAACATCAAATAAATTTGTAGTATTGCAGATTTGTTTGAATGCTTGAGCCAACTTATTAAGCCTCTAGGTCTCCATGAAAGTTTAGGCTGCTTACAATAAAAGCAGCTTTAGTAGTTTTTCAGCCAGGGGTTAAACTAAATGGCCTTAATTCCCTCAGTCTTATCTTTTACTTTAAAATAAAATGACATTTGCTACTTCCTAGTCATTAGTATCACACTCTATCTTTTCAAACTATTAAATATCAGTAAAATGTATCTGTTTATCCTTTGCTTTTTAAAAAAAAAAAATCTTAGTGTTGTCATGAAATAGGAAACTAGCATCTCCTTTGGTTACAGTATTTTTAGAGTCTAAAATTATTATGATTGTAATCACTGATTAATTTCCTTTGCTATCATAAAAATGAAGCTGTATTGAAAGCTGTATTGCTACTACACATTTCTAAATGATATTTTTTCATTTTTCATTGTTCTTCATTAATTATGGTGAATCTTAGTATATGAATATATTCCTGGAATATGAAGCTTAAGGTGGTTTGTTTCTGTCTCAGAATCATTATAAAAACCATGGTTTTTATTTACCTGTATGTTTCTGTGATGTGTCTTATCAAGTATAGCCCAATAAATTAGGATTTGTCATGTTAGTTATTTTTCTCATTTTCTGCATTATTGGCATCTATTTTCTCCTGCACAGTCACAGTTTTACTTTTTGCTAGTTCAACAAAGATCTCAGTATTATATTTCATTTGACTTTAAGAAATAAAAATAAAGCCCAATGTGGTAGCATGTGCCTTTAGTCCCAGCGACTCGGGAGACTGAGGCAGAAGGAAGACTCGATTGAGTGCAGGAGTTCTGGCCTGTAGTGTGCTATGCCTGTCAGGTGTCCACACGAAGTCCAGCATCAATATGGTGGCCTTCCAGGAGCAGGGGGGACCACTAGGTTGCCTAAGGAGGGGTGAACTGGCCCACGTTGGAAACAAGAGTAGGTCAGTAGTGGGATTGCACCTATGAATGAATAGCTGCTGTACTCCACCCTGAGCAACATAACAGGAGCCTGTCTCTTAAAAAAAAAAAAAGGAAATGAAAATAAAGTTTGTTTCGGTAACAATAAATAAGAAGATATTGAGTGTTTGTTTTTACTTTTATTCACAATGTTTATAAGCCAGTTTTTTAATTGGCTTTCAGAAATCAGAAGGTTGGTAAATTACCTATGTTGACAATAAATGTGCTTTGATCTTTCTCACTGTTGTAGTATATACTCCATTTTGTTAATAATTGTCTTCGTCATCATTAGTTGGAGCATCTCAGAATGGTGTGCTTTATAACTATGGTCTAAAGGTTTCATGTAATTTAGTAACCTAAATGTGTGTAATACTTTACAGAGTGCTTTGGTGTATATCATCTCTGTTTTTCTGTTTGTTTTCTGGCCATTTAAATGTTACATGAAATTCTTTGGTTATTTGTTGCTATCTTTGCAGCAACAAGGTTAGAGTAGGAGCTTAAGAAGGATGCTTGTAGATTTATCTGGAGTTTGTAATCAAGGAGATATGATTCTTTTTTAGTATTTCCTGAAAAGAATTAATTTTAGATACGCAATGCTGAGAAACGAAGTTATTTCCAAAGAAGTTGAGGTACTTGAGATGAGGCTTTAATGAAAATTTTATGCCTCATTCTAGTGAAGAAAGATTGCTTATACGTTAGAGTTGCCTAACCTTTTTGTCAAGCCATAAAGGGCACTGTAGAAGCTGCAGTTTACTGAATCAACTGCAGTGCTGTAGGATAATTAAAAATGAACTTCAGAAGTATAAATTTACTCTTTTTTATTCACGTAAGATCTGGGATCTGGCTTATTGTATTATTAAACTACTTGTATTCAGGGTTTAAAAATTTCTGGCTGAATCTTTTTTTTTTTTCTGCAAGAAAATTCAGAAGAGATCTGGCTGCATCTTTAAACTCAAGAATTTTAGGTTTGATTTTGTTTGATGATCTGCCTGTTTGTAGTTCCCTGTATTCTGTTTATCCTTTTGCTACTCGCTGTTCCCTTTGAAGACAATGGGAGCTCTGAACCAAGAATAAGTTGTGGAGAATTTGATCAGGTTATTATTTAATTTCTTCCTCATCTGACACTCTTTACTAGGTCATATTTCATAAATATAAACTTTTTTTTAACATAATTCAAGTATCTTTTCATTTGGTTGTATTTATATCTGAAGAATTTGAGTGTTAAATTCTTTTTTTCTACCGGCATGCTAAATACCTGTGCATTTGTTTTCAATGTGTGATACATGGTTTATTTTGGCATTTTACTTAGTTTTGTTCCTCTGAAATTGGCAGATTTCTTAAATCCTGATCCTCAATTATTTGATTTTCATTTAACAGAGAAACTTGTTGATTTTGTGATCTTAACCTTGTTAGTTTTAGCCATTTTCACAAAATCTTAGCTCCATATAAAATTGATTTTTTTTTTAGTTACTTTACTTTCAATCTGTGGTGCCTTGGTATTTCACATGATTTCATTTTTTTATAACTTTTCAGTGTTTAGCTGGTCTTTTAATTTATAGACTTTTTAACTTCTAGTGGTTGTAAAAACTGGATTAAATATTCCCGACATTTTGGGTGGAAACTCAAACTATATTTTAAAGTTAGTAAAGTAATAAGACAAATGCCAAGGGCATCCATTAACAATTCAACAATTAAATAATAATACAAGCCATTAATATATGATACATAACAAATGAGTAGTATGAGAGTCTTATGGAAATACAAATTATCTCATTGATTCATTTTTCAGCTCTGTTACTTAGTTTTACCATTCACTCAATGTTTAATATGCTTACTCCTCAAACAGATTTTGTCATTTGAATCCTACTTATCTTTCCAGACTGAAATCAGTTAAACTTCTGCTTCCTCCCCTCCATCAGTAGGATTTTTTAACCCCTGTGGAACATAGTCATCCCTCTATAGCTTGTACTGCCTTTATCACTTATTCAGTACTTATACCCATTCCTGATGTATACCATTTATTATACTATTTATTTGCATCTTAAGTGTTTGTTTTATATTTCATTTAAGCTAAAATACTTAAAAACAGAGATTATGTATTATAATTTTATATATTTCCCAGAGGACCTAGCATAGTATTGTGCATGTGCAAGGTATAAAATAATTATTTGGTGACTGAATAATTTGCCTATGCTGTATGCCAAATTTATAAACAATATGGCAGGTATGACCTAACTAACACTTATCTAGAGGCTATTCAACAACTCAGCATACTTTCAGAAAAGGAAACTTTGAAAGACCTCAGAGCTACACAGCCATTATAGAAGCCATGTAGTAAAGTATTTGCTTTATGCATTGAACAGGCTTGAAGCCATCACTTTAGATGTGTTTTCCACAGATCCTTTTAGTTCTTAACTTACTCATAATTCTGTCAAAAATAGATCACCTAGATTCTGAGATTGGAGCAAATGAGAAAGTAGTGTCACTGTAAATTCAGCAAAAAGTAATAGCGAAGACTTAGATTTAGGAAAAGAAGCACAAGCAAAGAAAAAGAACTCAAAAAACATATTGTAGAGCCATTAAGCATAGTTTGTCAAATATATCTGATAACCCTAAGGACTGTATAATAATTACTATTATAATGAAGATTGAGCTATCAAGGAATATTTAAGTTATATACAGTATACACTTTTAAGAACATAGGGAGTATAAAATATATAACAATTTTTAATGTAAGTTTGTGTGTGTTTTAATGTTTTCCATTTAAACTGTCAAACATTGTTTATAAATTCACTTAATCATGCTACACAGATGAAGCTATCTGGGAATAAAATGTGAAATATACTAAAGTATTGCCCTTTACTAACACCAGGCTATTTAATGGCTTCTTGCCTTTATTCATGCTATTTCCTTAACCTGGACCATCCTTACTGTCCCTCCCTACCTTTGCCTTACTTTCTTATCATTTTCTGTGTCTATCTTCTCCACAAGAATGCAAGACCCTTGAAGGCAGAGACTCTTACTTATTTCTGTACTAGTATGGTACTCGGGACATAGTAGATGCTCAATGAATTTTGAATTGTGCTGAATTGTTATGAACAAAACACTTAAGTACATATGGTCTTCTGTTCATACTTCCAGAGAGAACATGTCATGCTAAGATTTTTCTTTCTAGATTAAATATGCAGGTTTTCTTATTGTGTTACACGATACAATAGTTTCCTTTTTATCTCTTTCAAATGTGTTTCACTAATTACCATTTTCTTTCTTTCTAGATGGATTAATTGCCTCTGAAGGAGCCATAAGTCCAGATTTCTTCAGTGATTATCACCTTCAAAATGGAGATGTAGTTGGGCAGCACTCATTTCCTGGCAGGTAAACCATCTTCCAAGAAAAATCTAATGTATGGTATTTCCTTTGCTTTTGAAAAACTAAAATTCTCTCCCCATTTCCCTATCTTTTTCATTAAGGGGGGAAAACCCTCGATCTTTTCAAAAACATGTTTGAATTAATATTAACTTATGGAGTCACATTTTGTATGTAAAACAAAATGAAAATCATATATCTAAAAAAAAATGCTTCATCACTTTGGAAAATATAGACTGTCTATTGAAACAGGTAATAACTTTTGCCAAATTAATGAACACAGATTGTTTCCTGAGTGCTTTCCAAAACCAATAAAATATAGAATGAGAACACAAGACATGTATTTTAACAATTATTCAGACATCACTGTTTTTGAAAGTTGATGCTTTGATTAAATTGAAGACTTTTCTTCCCTAGATGACATTCAAGTAAAATATTTAAGGGAAAAAAAAATCTGTCAGGCTAGCATTGTTCTACAATTGTAATAAAGTTCCCATTACCAATGATGTCATAGATTTTTAAAGTCTTGCCAGAAAGTGTAAACAATATTTTCCTCTTTATATCATTCCTAGAAATGTAATATTTTAATTTAGGCTGACTGTGAAAATTTCACATTAAGCTAGTCCAGCAAATAGGTATAGTCTTATTTTCCCTTGAGCATATTTATTTGTTCCTTTAAATTACCGATTTAATTTCTTCTTCTGAAACTCTGTTTTTCATTAGCATAAGCTATTTTCTGTTTGGAAGATGTATTCATGTATTTTTTAATGAACAGTACAATTGTGACCAATATTCTATAACTCTTAATGATTACTTGTAATAAGCTATTTTAATCCAATACTAAATTATAATACTTTCAGCTATTATTGATCATCTGTTGTATATTATCTATTTTACAAATGCTCATCTTATTTATTTTAACATGCACAGCAACATTTTAAAGCAAGTTTTATTATATCTGTTTTACTGATGAAGAAATCAAGATTCTAAACTTTCAGTGACCAATTCACACAAGTAGGACGATAGAGCAAAAATTTGAACTCAGGTCTGTATGTCACCAACGCTTATGTTCTTTCCCGTGTAATATGCTGCCTAATATGGAGGAAACAAAATATACTATAGTGACTTTTAAGGTTTTTTTACGACAATCCACATTAAAAGAAATACCTTTCATATTGCAACCTAACGCACATATACATATTTGTTTACATACATGTATCTACCTATATCCATATATGTAAAGCAAAAATTTCTTAAAGTGATACTCTTACCTGTAATGCAAAACTATATATTGTTTTATTGTATTCTATTTCATTTTTTAAATGCAGATTGCAACCCACTAAGTTGATTTCACACTCACTGATGGTCAATGACCCAAAGTTTAAAAGCATTGTGGAAAAATGTAGGAGTATTACATGAAATGTGATAACCTTATGTGTAAGTCAGTGTTCTTTAGTGGCCTTTAAGTAACTAATAGCAGTTTAGAAATAGTTTCATCCACATACTAGATTTTCATAGTAAGAAACACCTTGCCTTAGGAAATAAAAGCTAAATATGATTAAATATTACAAAGCATATGGCTTTTGATTACTTCTGATATGTCTGGCTATATTAGCTATAATTATTTAAATAGAGCCTTTGTTTAATCATTGTAAATACTGTATGGTGTCATGTGACAATTCATGGTATAAATGTTTTCTGAAACATAATTGGAAAAGGAATAAATTATTTGGTTATGTGATCTTAATATTTATATCAAAGAAATTTGCTTATAGCATTTATGAAATTAATTATTCTGCCATTTATGTTTCACTATGAGCAAAAACATTATTTTTGTATCTCCTGCAGATACTGCCAATCTAGAGAAAGCAGACTGCTGCAAATCATACATTAAGCAAGTCTTACTTTTATTTTTTTATATAGCTAAGTGACTTTTAACAAACTAAAAGTTTTCCCTAAAATTGAATATCCAAAATAATTTTTTTGCTCAATTCAGCAAAATCATTCATTTTTGGATTTCAAAAATGGTCACTTTATAAAACAATACAGATGTTTTGAAAGATAGATATATTATATGACTAAGTTATTTACTTGGTCCAAAGATTTTAGGATTTTATTCATCAGTTCTGTTAATAAGTTTTTTTAAATGACTTTAGGAAAATCCTTTTACTTTTGTACCTTCAGTTCCTTTTCAAAGGTAAAAGTATTTAAGTAGCTTCTTTTACTTCATAAAAGACATCACAGTAATGTTGATTTAAAGGATTAGTTAATAAAACTTATAAGACTATTTTTCAAATCAAAAGAATGATATTTATTATAATCATTTTGATTTGAGAATTGTTTGCCTTTTAAAAAGAACTTCCGCTGAGAAAGTTAAATCTTTCATCTACTGTCTTCTGTAATTTTTCAGTCCTTAAGTCACATTATTAATAACTATATCACTTTTTTAGAAGAAATAATTTACAATGAATTTCCTCAGTTTTTTGTAGGTAATAGCTAAATGAATAGGGATTCTAAATTGTGTCAGCAGAGATACAGAGTATACAATATAGCAAAGTTGTTTTTGTCTATATTCTGTTTTATTGACTTACTTGGAATAATCAAAAATGATAGCTTTTATTCAATTATTTTTGGTTGGTTAGGATTCTCCTTTTAATAGACTTCTATGCTCTTCTTTGACAGTAAGAAACCATGGATCTTAATGTGGCACATTTTTAATTGTGCAGAGATTTAAGTATTTTAAATTGTTAAATAACGCATTCACACATTTCATAATGATAATTTTGCTGCATAATGTCCCAGATGTGAATTTTTAAATTAATGACCACCTTTTAGTTTCTGACATCCAAGAAGTAAATTTAAATCTTGTTAGATTAAATAACACTGACTCAAAATATTATTTCGGAAATTTATTTTAACTGATTTTAAGCAAAATAGAAACATTTTCAAGAAATACACATTCATTAAATAGAAATTGTTGAATTCCTATTCTTCATCTCCACGGTGAAGATGAGAATAAGCAGCCTTAATGTACAACATGGAGAATTTGAGTTAACTGTGAAAGAAAAATGTCTTAATTGAATTTTAACTATTGAAAAATATGATTCTCTAAATACATTTAAAAAGAGGAAATGTTATCCATTTGGAGTTTTTTCTTTCCTTTAAATTAGGGAAATGGTCCAGGTGACTCAAATTCTTTCCCTGCTTCTTTGTCAAATGTCTTTGATAAATAAGCACTGTCAAATTATCTGGAAAAAGAATAATAAAAGGTGAACGTTTATCATTACCATTGTTTTTAACGATTTAAGTAACAACAGCATGTGGGCTGAAACCTGAAAGAGAGTATGACAGTGCCAAGTGGCATACTCTGATCAGCCAGCTCATATGGCATTTCGGTTTTTGTTGTTTAACATTTCAGTTCGAGTGAATTCATGTGAAGTAGATGATCTCAAGTTCCCGTTAGGTAAAGAATAAATTGCTAATATGCATGACATAAGGTTTTTTTTAATCGTTCAAAGAAAAATTCTCCATTTCTTCCTAAAATGACAAAATTTAGTAGTAGGACGAATGTGTTAAAAATCTGAGAAACTAAGCCAGATTTAGAGAAGCGTTTAAACAGTTGAAATTGGTGTTTTTCTTAAAATCTGAGTCAGGGAGTCCCTCTTAATCAGAATGCCTGCATTTTTGTAATATAGCAAGTCAGTTTAATTGGAAACAGTGAAAACTGTTAAACTCATCTATCCCATTCTACAAGAGAGACTGGATGTTTGATAAAATAGATACTGGCAGTTGGACAGCGAATCCTGGGTTTTAGACATGTGTCACTATTGGTTTGAACCTCTTGGCGCCAGGATTTCCCGACATTTAGAGCTAATGCAAAATGCATTAGGGCTCTAAGGCATTAGCTATAGAGTTGCCAATCCCAGAGCGTCAAATGTAAATCTTCCCCTCCCCAAATCTGTACTGGTGTTAGAAAGTAAAGTGGAACTCGCTATTGAAGCTAATTAAAAATAATAGGAGCAAGACTAACTTTTTTTCCTGTTATATACCGTATATCCA